ATATGCCTGGGACTGGTCACCACAAAGTCAGCAATTTGAACTCACCGCACCTCTGGGGAGAAGGATGAGGCAGGCCGCTCCCATAAACGATTTCTAGCCGGGGGAGCCTCATAGAGGGTGGCAGTGGGTCAGAAGGACTCCATGACCGTGGGCCGGGTTTTTTGGTGGCATGCTGGCTGTTTGGAGCTGAGAGGGTGTTCAGACAAGGCAGAGCCTTGCCCTGGGGGAGTCCTCTGCTGCCAGAGAAGCTGAGACCAGTCTCTATGGCAACCGTTCACTGCTGTGCATGGGGACCCAGTTGGGAACACAGGTCTGGCAGTACTGGGGGCTTCCCCAAACAGCCAAACTGGCTCAGGGGCAAGGACTGCCAACTTCTATGTGTGCCAGGCTGAGCTTACTTTCCTCTGAGCTCTTTTTCTTTTTTTTTAAGTCTGCCTGACTGAATCTGTCCAGGGCTGACTGATGAGGAAATTAAGACCTTCTGGGCAGGGTTACCTGGGTAGGTAGAGGCCAAGCCATCTATATATAGCTATCTCCCAGGATGAAATTAGTCCACTCCCTACTCACGCACCGCCCTCTCTGCCCCCTCAGGTGGGCCCACCCTGGCCACTGCCGGTCTTTCACAGTGGAGAAACATCTAGGGCTGCATTCCAGAGCACCTGTGTGGCAGGGCCAGCACCCAAGGGAGCGCCAGGCTGGCCTGGAATGGCAGGGCCCCAGTGACTAACTGCCAGCTGCCCCCTTCCGTGCTCCCTCCTCCTGTGAAGGCACCTTCAGGCTGGTTCTGCTGCTGAGCTGCCCGAGGAAGCGCCTGGCACTCGGGGTACCGGGTCTGCGACCCAGGGTCAGTCCCTGGAGGGGCTGTGTCTCAGTTTCCCCTTTTGTGAGTGGAGCCGGGAGGCTGCAGAGCTGCAGGTCACAGGCCTGAGAATGAACCTGCCCCCCAGCAGAGGTGCTCAGAGAGGGGTGGGGACAGGAAGTGGCTTTTGTTTCTGCCTGGAAGTGAGGTCCCGACAAGCTGGGGGTGGAAGGAGAAACCAGGAGGAGACTGGCCTGGTCCCCAGGCTCCCAGGGCTGGGCTTCTTGCTACTGGTTCTTGCTGTGTGTCCTGAGACAGCCCTCTCTGGGCTCTGAACCCCTGCGAGAGGGTGTTCATCCTCCCTTACTGTGGCCAGGGTCCCAAGGCCTCTGGGACGCTTAGTCTCAAGAACATTCATCTCCCCTGCAAACAATAACCACGCCTGCTCCCTAGGGACTCCAGCAACTGGCCTCAGTTTCCCCTAGTGGAAGTCTTCCTTCTGGGCAGTCTTCATTGTCTGTGTGTCAACTGCTTAACTCCTGAGTTTCCACCGGCCTCTGGCCCCTCCTCCATCACAGTACCTATCCCTGGGCAGGGGCCATCTCCCTCCTGCCTAGAGGGGCTGAAGGACACTGGGGGCTTGGGCCCAGAGCAGCCCCTCCGTGCCCCCATTATTGAGGCTGGGCATGGCTGCCGTACAGGGCCTCGGACTCTGGGCAGAAGCGATTAGCAGCAGTCCCTGTCAGCCCGGCCCTCAGCGCGGACAATGAATGGGCCCCCCTCCCCACCACCTCCCCCAAGCTGGGCGGAGGGACTTCTGTATGTACACACTCAGGCGGGCACTGTGGTGGCTTTGCCCTGTCTCCTCTGTAGATGGGACACTCAAGGTGACTGAGCCCCGGTTGCATGGTAAGGCCAGATTTGGGCCTGGCCATCTCCTTGTGGCCAGGAGGTTGGTGAAAGGGGCCCTAGGGGAGATACTGTGCCGCTGACAGTAGAAGCAGTTCTAGCACCCAGAGTGCCCTATTAGAACTGCTCCCTAGGGTTCTGAGACTGCAAATCTTATGGGGATAGGTAGCCTCATCTTGCTGTCATGAAGTGGCTGGTGCCTTTGATCCGTTGGCCTTGTGGTTAGCAGCCTCACCCTTAACCCACTGCACCAGGAGGGCTCCTTGAACTTGCACCAGAGCAAGAAAGAAGCAGAACCAATAATACACTGGCCAGAATTTAGAGGCTGGGGTCCTGGTTTCCCTGCCTCCTGCTCAGTCCTTTGCCCTCATAGAGGCCATCTGAAGGTGCCCCCAGCCCACACCCCTACCTCTGTGGTCTGAGCCCCACCAAGCCCCACCAGGCGTCGATTCTGACTCATAGTCGCTCTGCAGGACAGCACAGAGCAGCTCCCTGGGCCTTCTGGGGGTGTACACCTTTATGGGGCCAGACAGCCTCCTCTTTCTCCTGTGGAGTGGCTGGTGGGTTTGAACCATCAACCGTACTGTTAGCAGCCCACCAGCACTGTAAAGCGCTGTGCCTGGAGAAGAGACATGTGAGTGGAGGGCAGCACACAGCTGTTTCTAGTCCCCATCTGCGGGCAGCTGGCCGAGAGGGAGTAGGCCTTTCCAGGAGGGGTAGTCAGGGTGAAGGCAGGCCGTCCACTTTTCTGAGTCTCCAACTCCCGCCTGAGAAATGGGTGTGGGAGACCCTGGTCTCCAGGGTGGGGAGCAAGGAAGGAGGAGGCAAGATTTGTGGGTTTGAGCTGGGCCATCTTGTGGTCTCTAATCTCCCCTCTACCTCTCTCCCGACTACCCCTGCATTGTCCTCCATCTGTGGTCACACTGACCACGGCCCCCATGGGTCAGGATGAGGCAGCGGACACCTTATCCCAGCCCCCTGGTGGTCTTAGGGGTCTCAGCTCCAAGACCGGGCTGTGGAGACTGAGCTGGGAAAGGAGTGGCCATGCAGAGCCCCCAAATTGCCAAGGCTGAGCCTGGTTCCAGGAAAACTGGCCCCAAATGATAGGCTGTGACCACAGGACAGAGGCCGGGCTGCCGTCCCGCCCACCCTGGGCACTGGGACTTGGCAGGGAAAGGGGGGTTCTGAGGGCCCTGGGGGTTGTGCCCCTTTAGGGCTGTGAGGGTCTATGGTGGGGGGGCTCTTGGGTGGGGAGGGGTCATCTGGAGGGAGCTGGAAATCTCTATGGAGGTGAAGCCGGAGACTAGGTTATCGAGGTCAGGTCTCTGAGGGTCTCAGAGCCTGGACTAGGGACCTCGTTTTCAGGGTCCCTGCCTGGCTGGCTATTGAGCTGCCCTAACATTAATGACCGGATGTGTGGGGTTTGGGGCAGAGGAAGGATCAACAAATATTGAACACACTTGATGGAGGCTCTGGAGTTGCTCCTCAGATGGGCAGCCCGAGGGTCTGAGTGGGGCCAATCAGCTTGTCCCACTAGAGAGGGCATGCATGTGTGTGTGGTGTGCGCGTGCATGCGTGTGTGTGTGTGTGTGTGTGTGTGTGTGTGTTGATGGCAGGGCCCGGCTAGAGTTTCCCAGCCTTAGCCAGCAGAGCCAGGCTCCCAGACCCCTATAATTACCGGGGCGGGAGCTGCAGCCAAGCCTTGGAGCAGGGGTGACACTCCCAGAGTGTCAGCCAGCCAGCTCTGAGGCCCCCACAGAGAGACCAGAGTCCCCACCAGAGGAACTGGCCAACGTCAGCCACAACCTATATCCTCTGGTGCCCGGACCCTGCCTTTCCAGGCATCCCCATCTGGGGACAGGAAAACTGAGATCAGAGGTCCCCAATGTTCTCTGGGCATGGCTGGCACCCAGCTTGCCCCCCTCGTTAATGATCAGCAAAGGCAATGGTCAGGTGTGTTGAAGGAGCCCTGGCGCTACTGTGGGCTAGGCATTGGCTACTAATCACAAGGTGGGCTGTTCAAACCCACTAGCCGATCCTCAAGACAAAGATGAGGCTTTCTGCTCCTGTCAAGATTTACAGCCTCAGAAACCCGATCAGAGGATCGCTGTGAGCCAGGTCCAGTGGGTGGCTTGGTTTAGGTTTGGCCTGTGTGCCAGGCACAGGGCATGGATTCATCCATTTATGTTCACAACAATGATATGGAGCTGATCTTATAAGGAAGCCAGTTTGCAGAGGAGAAAGCTGGCACAGAGAGGTGATGGAGAAGCCATGATTTGAACACCTGGCTTTGGACCTCACACTCTTGAGAACTCAGCTTAAGCTGCCTGCTGCTCTGGGAGAAATGTGGGCAGCATGAAGGTGGGTGTGACCAGCCTGTGCTTGGGGTGCAAACTTGAGCCCCGCTTGTCCTGTCCTAGCTGACCAGGCAGGAAGAAACCTCAGGTCATGCTGTGCAGACGCTGGGCCGGGGGGGCCTGGTGGATCCAGGGACCCCTGGTCAATATGGGTTTATATGGGTTTCCTCTCAGGCCTTTTTGAGGACTTGGAAATGTTTGGGTTTGATGGAAGGGGTGAGGAGGAGAGCAGGAGCCCCGGGAGTTCCTGAAGGGCCAGTGGTAAACAGGGATCACCATGAGATCTGTGACCAGCCAGGTGAGTCGGGGCCAGACTGGGCTCAGCTAGCGGGGGCCATGGTGCTTCTGTGGGAGGTAGAAGGCATGCCTTCGGTGTGGGAGACCCAGGTGCGACCCCAGCCCTGCTCCTCAGACACAGGTACCACCCATCTGCCAGGGGAGGTTTGCCTGTTACTATGAGGCCGAACACGTCTCAGTGGAGCTTCCAGGCTAAGAGGGACCCTGAAGGAAGACCTGGTCTCTGTACTTCAGAAAATCACCAATGACAACCCTTTGGGTCCCAATTGTGGGATTTCACTGTATTTGTGGTCACCATGAGTTGGGAGTTGAGGTCAGCAGCAGCCACCGCCACCACCGCCAACAAGGGTTTCCCTAAAGTCACCTCTACTTCTTCACCAGAGCCATGGGAGAAGGGATTGGAAAGCACCCTGGTGGAGGGGATCTTGGACCTGGCTCCCGGAGGATGATGCTGAGCATCCCTGGTCGACACCGAGACCCCAGAAGTGGGCATCGGGCTGGGTAGAAGGTTGGGGGTTCCTTAGAACAGCAGTCCAGTGATCTCTTATCACCTGGGCCCCCCCTGGAGAGTCTGCGTCTTAACAGGCACCCTCCCTCACGGCAACTGGTTGGTTGACTTTCGGAAGTAGATCGGGATCATGGATCTTCCCAGCCTCATCACTGACACAGGAAAAACACAGTCCAAGGAGATGGAAGGTCATGATTAGCAGAATTCCCCTTTCCCTAGAGACATGTATGTGGATGCGTGTGTGTGTGTGTGTGTGTGTGTGTGTGTGTGTGTGTGTGTAGGGGACTTGTGGTTGGGAGAGGAGCTAGGTTAGGTCAGCTCTTGATGGAGATTTCAAACGTGAAGAGTCTGGAATTTATTTGGGTGGCAGTGAGGGTGGCGGCCAGACTCAGTGAGCTCTGGCTGGTGAAGTGCTCCGTGTCCCTGCCTATGCCACCCTGGGACCTTTGAGATGGATCATCTGCCGATAATAACGGTGCTATTCGTCTTGCTGAGCCAGGGGGCTCGGCACTCTGGGTGCCCTGCCTGAGACCGGGTGGTGGTGGCGATTTCGAGGCCCAGCCAGGGTCAACAGCCACTTAGCTCCTCAAGTGCAGACACTGACTGGTCTCAGGAGCCCCACCCCGGGTGGGGAGTGTAGTGGGTGATAAGGCTGCCAAGGGAAGCTGGGTGGGACTAGAGTGGGGAGCCCACCAAGGAGGAGGAGAGGCTCACCGAGGCCGGGCGGCCAGTGTTCATTATGGGAGTCAGAGCATGTGAGCCTGGGGTCCCTCAACTCTCAGAGGTCAGGCCTTGGTCATGCAGCCTAGCCGTGCTGCGAGGAGGAGCCATGGGGTCAAGACCAGGAGGCTGGGAATGGAGGGGTGAGAGGGGTAGGGGGGGGACCATGAGGAAGTGGGTGGTCTGGGGGGGAGTGATGGAGGTGAGGATGTGGAGTTGGGGAGGGAGGATAAGGTGCTCAAAAGCTTCTACTGTAAAGGGAGGAGTGAGAGGGCAGGACAGGTGCTTTCAGCCTGAGGAGGGGGAGGGAAGAACACCTTGGAGGGCTGGCGGGCAGGACACTGGTGTGTGTGGGGGTGCTCTTCCCCTGGGGAGGGGCTTGCCTAGAGCAGGAGGCAGTTGGCCTGGGATGAGACAAGTCCACGGGGTGTCACTCAATGGACAAGAAGATACGGGGTGCCCTGCTGTTCCAGGAGCCCCTGGCTCAGGGACAGAGGGTGATTTTGGATATGGATGTGGGGTGGCTGCCTGGGGAGGCCTGGGTGTGGGATAGCTGGGGTGGGAGCCCCTACCTTGCCTGCCCCAGGGCTGGTGGGGTGGGCTCGGTCTGAGCTGTGGGAGGCTTCTCCTGGGCGTGAGGCCTGTCCTGTGACCCACCGAGCCTCAGCCTCCAGGAAGGCGGCTAAAAATAAGGCTGTGGTGAAGCAGGGAGGGGCTGGGGGCCGAGCCAGGCTGAAGCCCAGAGGAAAATCTGAGGTGACTGCCCGAGCAGCCGTGACACACGCTTCCCGTGCCAGCCGCCAGTGGGGTATTGCCCTCCCGCGGCCACGGCCCCTTCCGGGCCCAAAGAGGGAAAAGAAGCCTAAGAAGGCTCAGGCAGCAGCATCCACACATGGGCTTCCCCCTTCCTGGGGGCCTCCTGCCTGCAGCTCCCGCCCTGGACCAAGGCTGTGGGGAGAGGGGAATTGTGCTAGGGAAGGCATGCAATGCTTCCAGTGTCTTGGGGTCTAGGCCCCAGGAACTCCAAAGGCCTGAGATGCCCAACCAGGTATGGGGGAGCATCATTCCCCTGACCAGGAGCTCTGGGTGAGAGAGGAAGTCCAGAGGGGCTTCCCAGAGGCCGTGGCAAATGCTGGGCCGAGAAGGCATTGTCCAGTCCAATGGCTGGATGTGCCGTGAGGAGGAAAAGGGGAGCGTCGTTGATTTGCTGTGGACACAGCACGTCTCTGACAGGGCCGCTTGCCAGACTAAGTGCCCACTGCTGCTGCAGGGGGAACCCTCCATGCAGGAGCCCAGGGTGGGGTGTCTCCCCCTACCACCTTGTGTTTCACACATCCTTCCATCCACTAGCCACTTGCGGTCTGCCTGCCCCTGGGCTCTGGGGCTCTAGGGGGCAAATTGGCACTAGCTTGAAGGTTGCTGGATCAATCCCACCCAGAGCTGCCTTAGAAGAAAGGCCTGGCAGCTGAGCTGCTCCCCCATACTCTATGGGACGCGGTGCCTCTTTGGGCAGGTGGCATCCCGTGTACCTACCGTGAGTCAATGTGAACCCTATGGCAACTGGCACGGCTTGGTCCTGGTTCTGGAGAGGATGCACCCTGGGCCCTGCCCTAGGGGCTCACAGGGCAGAGTGGGGTGAGTGGATGCTCCCCCACCTCAGACACCTTATGACCTGAAAGACTTTTTTTTCCCCCCGCCACCCCCCCACCTTCTGTCCTCAAATACCCCAGGAGGTGTTATCATTGCTTAATGAGGAGAGAGGAGCTCAGAGCATAGCAGGAACCAATTTCTGGGCCCAAGGAACTCCTATCCATGTGTCTCTCCTGTAGAACGAACTGATCTTTGTGTGACAGGAGCCAGGATACACGAGGGGGAGGCAGGTTGACTAACTGGGAGTGAGTGGAGGGGAAGAAATCAGGGAGGACGTCCTAGAAGAGGTGGCATCTTGGAGGATGCTTAGGAATTTTCATAGCTGACAAGGTTATGCCAGGAGAGAAGAAGTGTGTGGAGTTGGAGAACCATGAGGCGTTTGGGGTGCCTGGCTTGAGGGGTCACTCATGGCCATCCATTGAGTCAACACTGACTCATAGAGACCCCTGTGGGTTTCTGAGACTGTAACTGTTTACGGAAGTAGAAAGCCAAGTCTTTTTCCAGTAGAGTTGAAGGTGGTTTTGAACTGCCGACCAGGAGGATCGCAGCCCAATGTGACCACTAAGCCACCAGGGCTCCTCTGGTTTGGAGGGGTGGGGGTAGAGAAGTGGTATCTTGAGAGGTGAGGATGGAGGGTGGGGATTGCCAGGGGCAGCCTGTTGAAAACCTGAACCCTCCCAGCAGGCATTGTGGAGCCTGGGTGGCAGTGACCAGGTGTGAGAGGGATGTGTGCAGATCAGAAGGGGAACCAGCGCCCCTAGCCAAGGAGCGGCTCAGAAGTGGGTGGGGGTGGCAAGGTGAGCCTGGGTGCCTCTCCAAGTTCAGATACAACAGTGTCACCTGCACTGGCCTCCTCGGAGGCCCCGCTTGGTAGCCCCATCACCCACAGGGCCCAAGGACCAACCCTGCTTCCGTCTTCAAGGCACCTCCACAGCCCGCCTCAGCGATTAAGTCATTAACTGGGCCTCACCCGGCCTCCTCGTTAAGGATAATTATGGTAAATCCGCTCTGGGCATTAACACGAGGGGACTGCTCCTCCTGGCACTCCAGCTTCTAGAGCACCAGCTGGCCCTGACCTCGCATCTCAGGATGCTGCTGGTGCCCGGCCCTCTGCCTGTGCTCCGGCCCCAACCACTGGGCTTGACTCCTGTGTGGTGCTCTGAGTCCACTTCCTGGCTTGCCTCTCTGTGCCTCAGTTTCCCCATCTGTCAAGGGAGCTAATACTACCGGTCTCACAGGGTCGTGCCAGGAGGAGCGAACCAGTAAACTGTTTATCATTTAACATGTGGACTATTCTCATGTTTAATGTTGTCAGCATGGCCATGGTCATCAGGAAGAGCCCTGCGGGTGGCAGTGGGTGGGTGGGTGCTTCTGAGAGCAGCCCCTCCTTTCTTCCCTATCTCTTGTCAGTGCAGATGTAGGGGAGGGGGCTCTGGCCTGGCCCAGCCTCTTGCTGTTCTTAGAGATAAACCTGAGAGGGGCCCCTGGGACCTGAGAGGGCTGGTGGTGGAGGTAGGGTGGGGTGGGGGTAGGGATTCCTCTGGAGCCTTGGGTGAGGGCTCCAAGAGGTGGGAGGGGTCCGGGAGGCTGTTTAAGCCTCCATCGAACCCCAGCTCTGTCTGTTGTCCATGTGGCCCCCCTGGATAAGAGCAGAGGTGCCGGGACTTGTGGGCAGACCTGGAGCCCCCTGTGTCCCTCCACATCTGGACACTGGGCAAGGGCTGTAACCCCAGGACAGCTGGGTGGGTGCACCTGTGTGTGTGCACAGGGGCTTGCACACACCACACATGCAGGTGAGTGCCTTGAGTGTGGACCACAACTTCCAGAGCCTGCTCACCCCCACGGGCCTCTCTGGGCTGTGGGCTGGGTGCATCCTTCTGAGGGCGCGGGTCCCAGCCCCCAGCCCCGAGTGGGCCTTAGTGGGGCAAGAGGCCCAGGCTGACAGACAGCACATTGGCTTGGCTGTGTGACCAAGGAGGGGTCTTGCCTGTGTCTGAGCCCTGGCCCCTGCAGTGACTGAGTTGGGGGTGGGCTGCCCCCACCCCGCAGGCTGAGTGTGGGGAGTCCCAGTGCAGGCAGGTCTCTGAAAGGGTCTGGCTGGGCGGGTGGGGTGGAGGTCCCAGCAAGAGGGAGGGTCACTGAGGCTGGGTGGGCACTGGGGCCGCCCAGGTCCGGTGTGGCCAGTAAGCACCTCTGTCTACCCCCTGCCCGCAGGCGTCCTCCTAGACATCCAGCAGCACTTCGGGGTCAAGGACCGAGGCGCCGGCCTGTTGCAGTCAGGTGAGGCCCCCTCCCTTCCAGGGCCCCCGCTTCTCCAGTCTCCACCTCATTGTTGGTTGGCTTATGTGAGCCATGAGCCAAGCCCTGGGAAGGCTGAGGAGGTGAACTCCTGACGGCACTGAGTGGGGGATTGCTCACCCTGCTTTTCCATCCCTGTCAACCCAGAGTTCCCGTCAGGGACCATGCAAAGTGCTCCACCTGGTCAGCCAGAGGCGGGGCCCGGGGGAGGGGCTCTGCCAGCCTGAGGTCCAGGCCAGGGGCTCTCTGCCCTCTCCTCCTGGGGCCCTAACCTCTGAGCTGCATGCCACTAGGCTGCAGAGCCACTGAGCTAGGGCCTGACCCCGGAACTGTGAGCAGTTATCCCTTACACTGCGTCTCCCTCGTCCCTGTCCCTGTCCCCTGCCCATTATAGGCCTTCCCACTGGCCATGGCCATATCTTTGATGGGTCCAACCTGGCTGTGTGACTCTAGCCGGTCCCCTGCCTGTCTCGGGGCCCCTCTGGCCGTGAGGTCCAGTCAGATGTGTGGGAGAGGTTCCATGATCAGAATGCCAGCCCTGTCAGCTGCCACCGACTCCCTTCCCCGGCTTGGCTCTCCTGGGAGGGTGGGGCAGGGGCTAGCCACCTCTGTCCAGGAACCCGCCTGACCTGTCTAGGTGGCATTCCAGCACGCGTGTGGTCACACACACACAGACACACACAGGCCAGGCCTCCATGAGCTCACAGAATGCCTTAGCTCAGCTTTTGGCCTCATTCCTCAGGGGTGGGGGGGGGTTGTCTTTGGGGCTCAGAGGGAGGGGATGTAATAGCTCAAGACTTAACCCCAACCAGGAAGGACTGACTGAACTAGGCTTGGGTGCAGCTGTGTGGTCAGGCACCACCAAGGGTGGACAGGCCCAGCCCTGGCAGAAGTCACCTCTGCCCAAGCTCTGAGCCCAAGTCACTTCCCTGCCCCTCCAGCCTTCCTGGACCTCCCAGGCTAGGCCTGAGCACGTCCGCATGCCTGGGGACAGGGGAGAGGTCTACTGGGGGCTGCTCCCTCTTGCCTCCTGGGTCCTGCACTCACAGTGAACAGCTCCAGGACACTGGAGTTCCAGCCAAATGGGGGCGTGGGAGGGGGCAGCCCCCACCGAGCTGGTGGGGAAAGGACAGGGAGGTCCCCACCCCCAGCCCCACCCTCTGTAGCTCTTCAGTCCCTCAGGACCTGGCCCGAGTATCCTCTCCCGGGATCCATCAGTCCTCACCGCCTCCTCCCTTCAGCACCCTAGAGTATGGTCAGGACCAGCTCAGCTGCCCAGGGAGAGAGTAGTGCTAGGCATCTGACCCTGGGCAAGCGGTGAGGCTCTGAGTTCCCGGGCCCCTGCCGAGGTGACGTCTTAAGAGAGAGAAGTCACCATGGTCCCCGCCTGGCTGTGGTGGGCAGGTCCTTCCCAGACATCATCTTGTTGGGCTCCCCGATGGCCCCACTGACCACCTCAAGCCAGACCAGCTGTTGCTGGTCAGCTCCGACTCCTGGTGATCCCACGCTGTCAGGGTAGAACTTGGGACACACTTGGTTTCCAACGGCGGGGTTTGGGAAGTACAATTCTGATTGGCCTTTGGATTGAACTTTGGCCTTTTGCATGCAGATGGGCCGAAAGTCCAACCAGACACGACGACTCCTCCCATTCAGCCTCAGCACTGGGCTTTCAGGGAGGAGCGGTTTGGAAACTGGACGTATTAGAGGAAGGCACAAAGTGGTTGGTTTATTAAACCCGTGTGGGTGTGCTCATACACACATAAAAAAAGATTGCGAGTGGAGTTGGGGTGAGGGTGGGGGTAGTGGGGGCAGTGGTTAATCTTTCCCTGTGAAACGGACAATGGCTAGAAGAGCCAGAGGGTGGCCTGCAGGGGCAGTGAGTTATTTCATGTGGCTCTCGTAGCCAAAGTCCCATCAAATGCCCTCTCCCTGCATGGGTCAGGCCAGAAACTGACAAGCTCTGCCTGGGCGCCACCATGAGTGGGCATGAAGCCCCTTCACGGGAGGTGCCTCTGGTCGACTTGACCCACCCACCCTGAGGTCAACAGTCTAGTGCCATCATTCCGCAGGTTCGCTGTGGTTAGATTGGCTTTCTGGATGAAGAGCCAGAGAGCGGAAGGGAGAAAGGACTTGCTTCAGGTCCTGTCACAGGAGAGCAGCAGGTGTGGCTTTGGGGTCCAGACTCCAGCCCAGGCTGGCATCGTGGAATTCCCAGGGTGCCCAGCATCTAGCAGTGACTCCTCGAGTCACTCTAAGGACCCTTCTATACGCCCTCTCCTGGTCGGTCAGACAGCTGGGTGGCTCCCCCGGGTCATCAGACCAAGAAGCCAGTCGAGCTAGACCAGGATATGACTCAGTGGGCAACCAGGCAAGTCACCTAATTGGCCTGGGCTGCAGACATCTGTCTCTTCCCCAAGCCCCGATAAGGTCGCAACTGGGTGGAGGGTGCCATGCAGGTGTCAGTGCTTGCCCAGATCAAAGGGCCAGAAGCTGAGAGCAGAGGTGCCTCTCTGTTTGCGGGCCCTGGGGGTTGAGGGGGAGGCCTGGGCCTGCCCCTGCTCTTTCCTCCTTGGGACCAGAGCATGAGAGTTGGCTTAGTAAGAGCCCCCTTGCGGCAGCCCCCTTGCAGGTCACCGCCAGCTCTCCGGTCTGCCAGCTCAGCACAGGCCAGGGGCTAGCCTGCAGTGGCCCTGCTCTGAAAGCCCACAGCACTTGTGTCTTGCTGTTCGGGGCAACCAGGAGTCCCTGCAGCCCCCAGAGGGCTCTTGACACTGTGCGGGGCCCTGCCACAGGCTCAGGACTTGTCCTCAAGTAGGCTCCCTCCATCGCAGGGAACTGGGTGAGCTACCACTGCAGTCTGTCTTGCCAGGAGTAGGTAGAGTGGAAGGGTCATGGGATAAGTGCTCAAGGGGTCCAGTCACCAGGCAGGGATGGGGGGAGGGTGGCTGCGGGAGTCGAGGGGAATGGTAGTAGGTGTACTTGTCAAGGTACAGAGCCTTCTTAAAGGAGGAGACATTTGCCTGGGGCTTGGAAGGATGAGCTCGAGTTTGCTCGGGGGAAAGGACTTCTAGCAAGTTTGTCGGGTTGAAAGCCTTCTCCCCCCGTGGATGAAATATGCCAAGAAAACACACAGCAGTAACTCCTCTCTGGTTTGCCGACACCTGGGCTGGCCCTTTAAGGCTCTTTACATTTGCCAGCACTTGAAAGCAATAGAACTAAGGCCTGCTAGCAGCGGGGCTCCCTCACAGTCCCTTCCCTAGATGCAGTGCAGCTTTTCTCTGGGAAGGCTTCGGATTTTTTCTTGCACTAACATACACAGGGGTAAAGAAAAGCTGGACATGCACCTGATGTACCTGTTCCGACCCACCCTCCCATTGAAGTAAAGACACCCTTAGGTAGGGATCTCAGTCCATCACCCCCGGGCTGCCTCTTTAAACGTTCTATTTAAATTCTGTAGCTGAGCTTGGACCAAGCCAGCAGGGACATTTCCAAGTGTCGGCGTCAGAGTCAGTGCAGAAAGGTGGAGGCCGTCTGCTTCTGGAACTCGCGAGAGTCTCCAAAAGCCTTCCGGTCTTAGAGGATCAATGTCCATCTTAACACCAGGGCCGTGGGTAGGAACCACGTGAGTCTGGGGCCAGATCAGAGTCTCAGCAGCTTATTACATTTATTAAAATAGAAAGCATTTTCGCCGCGAAGAAGTATGCACTTATACGAAAAGTAAAGAGCATGGTGCAATGAACCTCCATTCCTCCGCTCCCCACCCCCCATACCTGGACTCGTCATATTACTCAGAGCCGGGTCCCGCCTGGGGACAACGTTCGCACCAGAGCCCAGGGCCAGCTCCCCAATCCCTCACTGGGCCCTGGGCTGGTGGGCAGTTTTCAGCAGAGTTCCCGTTCCCTCCCAGTTCCAGCTGCGTGCCCAGAGCCTCATTCCAACCCCTGCTCTGTGCAGACCCGGACCTCCCATTCAAGCCTCGTGCTGACCCGATGCGTCCAGAGGCTCCCCAACCCCAAACCACCCTCACTGGCATAGATTCCATTCTGACGCAGCGCGACCCCGTAGGGCAGGGTAGAACTGCCCTGATGAGTTTCTGAGGCTGTCACTCTTTAAAGGAGTAGAAAGCCTTGTCTTTCTCCCATGGAGCTGGCTGCTGGTTTAGAACTGCTGACTTTGCAGTTAGCAGCTCAACTCGGAAACCTCTACTCCACCAGGGCTCCTGTCCAAAGAGCATCCCCCACCCAACTGCCAGCAGAGGCAAACGGGAAACTCTTCTTATGGGGGGCCAGCACGGCTCAGTCTGAGTCACAGGCAGAGGACACAGATGGTGATTCCTGCTGAAGGCAGCTCACATCCTAAGAGCAGTGTGGGGTGGATGCAGTGAAGATCTTCTTTTTAAAAAAAACCATTTTATTAGGGGCTCATACAACTCTTATCACAATCCATACATACATCCATTGTGTAAAGCACATTTGTACATTCAGTGCCCTCATCATTCTCAAAACATCCGCTCTCCACCCAAGCCCCTGGCATCAGCTTCTCATTTTTTTCCCCTCCCTCACCTCTCCCCCTCCCTCAGG